CCCCACCTTAATCATCATTTGCCTCTTCATCATCAGCTTTATCATTAGCATCATCATCCGTAGCCATGTTAGTTCAAGCCAGTTCGACTCAATTTCGAATCGCTCGCCCCTGGTGACTCGAGCTTGTCCGTAGCCAGCGGGGGTTCGCTCAATCGGATTCAGGTTTCTGGTATGTTGCCATCACGATCCGTGCAGGAGCACCGCCCGTGGCGCTGCAGGCCGTTGTCGCATCGCCCCTCACCAGCTAGATTTCGGTGGCAGGAGCAGCATGGCGGCGACCCTCGAGTCAATTCAGAAGCCCATCCAGACGCAAAGCAAGCAAGCCACCAACCATTACAAGGAGGTTATCAGAAACTCTGGTCAAGGTACCAAGTCGGTGACATCGGCTCAGGTGGCATCCATCGAACTCTCGTTGAAGATGGGACCCACCCAGGTTGAGAACGAAGAGCGGTTCGCGAAGGTCGAGCAAGAGTTGTCGGAGTTGTGTCACGGTAGTTCTTCAGTGGACGCATCCGTGACGGCTAAGAGAGCCTAGAGCTTGACAGAGGTAGTTTTGTTGCGCCGCTACGTGTTTCATCGGTCGCGGCTGCTGAGATCAAGAACATCGAAGAGAAAATTGTGGCCTTCAACAAGCTCAGTCTGCAGCGTCAGCGGCTTCGTTCGGCCAGGGCTTCCGACTTCGGTTCCGAGCGCCGCCTCACGTCGTGCCGATTTGGCCCCGCCGCCGTGGTCACCATCGACGACGACGGCCCCGCCCGCACCAAGGTGTGGATATGTGGCTTCCCACGGAAGCTATTCAAGACGAAGTTCGATGCGCAGTTTTGGGACGTCCTGCAAAGCATGCCGTCATCATTCCGCTCCAGGGGTGTTGCTTGATTCGTAACATGGCCGTCTCTTACGCCATCAAGCTCGAGAGTGAGCAGGTCGCGATCAATTTCCATGACCACTACATGTTGAATCGGCGACAGGTGGCGGGACACCAGGACTGGCAATATTCGTACGTTAATTGTGGTGCTTGATCGTCCGACCGGCGTGAGGAAGAGGAGTTTGGTATTGAGCAAAAATTAGACGTGAAGTCCAGAGATGAAGATTATATGATATTCGTACCAGGGCGTGTGCTATTTGATATACGAGGACGAGCCCTACGAGCTGGCTGAGTGCGTCGACTCGTTGGCAGGCTCCTACTCTTTCGAGTCGCAGTTCAGCGTCCTGAACGAGACCGGCATTAATCAGCACGAGGACCGAGGATCCATCAGGTTGTTAGATGTTCCCCCTCCTTCTCTTCTTCCCCCCCCCTCAACAACCCGATTCCCGATAACGCCTTGCTTTCCACTGTGCTGTACTTACTCCAGATTTCGTAATAAAGGGAGGGGGGTCTCATTTCGGGGGGGGGTCTCTTCCAGGCTATCTTGGAGGGCCTGGGGGGGTCTGGGGACAATGTTTTGGAGGGTTCTCCCACGGGGGGGGGTCTGAAATGGCTTGTCTTGGAGGGTCCAGACCCCCTCCCTTTATTCAATCGCTTCGCTCATTCCGCCGGCCCATATTGCAGCATCACTGGCGCTTGCCTGCGTGCCCGGGGGGTATTTGGGGGGCCTCCTGGGGCCGGTTGGGGGGCCTCTTGGGGGCATCCTGAGGGCTTCTGAGGGCTTCTGGATGCTGCCGAAGGTCTCCTTTCTGGATGGCGGGCGGCAGCGGCAGCGGGGAGCTGAACGGCCTGTGAGGAGGTGCTTGGAATGCCACAAGTGTTCAGAATGCGAGCAGGTCTTAGACAGGCAGTGCTTCACGAAGGCCGAGAAGGCGTGCAGACAGTGCGGCGCGCTGGCGACTTGCCCGTCGTGTGGGGCGACGAAGAGCCCGACAGAGTTCGACGCGGAGGTGTTGCGGCATGCGCGGAGACACGGCCGGGGCGCAGTATGCCTAGCCTGCAAGAGCTCCACGGGGCCCGCTGCGCGGAAGAAGGTGAAAGCAATGTAACCGACCCGGACGCAGCGATTGCTGGAAGACGGAGGGTGCGACGTCGGGTCGGCGGAGCGCTGAGCCATTGAGGGGAAAGTGAAACGACATGTAGGGGTGTGATTTGACGGATCCAGAGCAAGGAGGGCTGGAAGAAAAAAACCTTCGCTGATGCTCTGGCGGTTGGCCATATTGTAGCATCGCTGGCGCTTGCTCGCGTGCTCGGGGGGGCATTTTGGGGGCCTCCTGGGGCCGCTTGGGGGCTTCTTGGGAGCTTCCTGAGAGCCTCTGGGGGGTCTCTTGGGGCCTCTTAGGGGCCTCTTGGGACCTCCTGGGGGCTTCTTGGGGCCGAGGGCTGGAAATGTTGTTTCGTGTTCCCCCTCTTGGGGCGTTCTTGGGGCCCTCTTGGGCCGTCTTGGAGACCTCTTGGGCCGTCTTGGAGCCCTCTTGGGCCGTCTTGGGGCTCTCTTGGGGGCCTCTTAAGCCCTCTTGGGGCGATCTTGGAGTCGTCTTGGGCTGTCTTGGGGCTTCGGGAAGCGGAAAAGGTGGAAAAGCCAAAATATGTCCAAAACCTAAGGAAAAGCAATGAATTTTGCCTCTTGGGGCCCTCTTGGGAGTACGCTTGGAGACCTCTTGGAGCGTCTGGGGGCCATCTTGGGCGTCTTGGAGCGATCTTGTGGCATCTCGGACGCCTCGTGTACCATCTTGGGGACCTCTTGCGGGCCTCTTGGTTTTGTTTGGGTCCTCGGGGACGTTTTCGGAGCCCTGTTGGTGCGCTCGTGGAGCGCTCGGGGGGACCCGGCCGGGACCTGGTCGGGGTACTTTTCGTCTGGGGGCCCCCAGGGGCCGCCCCGCGCGCGCGAAGTAGAAACATTGTAGAGCAGTTACCGGAGATCTTAGCACGCCTCTGGCCCGTTGGGCCGGCGAATTACGAAATCTGGAGTAGACATGTGCCACCACACCTACACAGCCGCTCGCTGCAGGCCAGGTGGCTCGATCGCCGCCGTCGCCCAGGCCCGACTGCAGCAGGTGGTCAGGCGCAGGGGCGAGCGCAGCGTCCTGATCGGCGACGCCCCGCGGGCGCCGCCGCCGCCGCCGCCTGTCGGCGGGGGGGAGGGGGCTCGAGGCTTCGGAGCTGGCGCGGGCCGGGGGACTCCAGGGCTTTCTCTGGGCAATTGATCTCCCCCCTTTACCATCCTCGGCCACCTCGTCCTCGGCATCGTCAGCATCAGCACCAGCATCCCCATCTCGTTTTGCATCAGCAGCAGCACCATATGTATCAGAACATCGTCTGACTGCCTTGCAGTGTTGATTATGCCTCGTTATGCTCATGCAGCTCCTTATTGCTCGCTTATCATCCCTCTCCTCTTCCTGTCGCCACTGCAGTATCGACTAGTTGTTGAGACCACGATTCATAGCATGAGCTTGCTTATTGCAGGTCGGCGTGTGCAGTATCACGGTTTGCCTAGCGACGTTTTGGGTCGCGATATTGTTGTGGCACGCGTGGGTCTAGTTCGATACAAAAATCACAACCATCATCATCAACATTACCATCAGACCACCACCATCAGCGTCATCATCGTCATCCGTCTCAGCAATGTCATCAGAGTCATCATGATCATCACCAGTAGCACCGCCATCATCATCAGCATCATGCTCGTAGTCCGCATCAGCAGCAACATCATCATCGTCGCCATCGTCACCGTCACCACCCTGTCTCAGCATGTCCATCGGCATCGCCGACACCATCAGCAGCATCATCACCACCATCATCATCATCCTTCGTCCCCCCTGCGAGGCCGCCGAGTGGAACGGCGCCCGGCTGGCGGGGTCTGAACACGCTTGCGCGGAAGCGCGGGCGCGGGAGGCCGCACAGTCCGACGAGGCAAGCAAGGGGAGTCTTAAGAGGAAGAGGAGAAGAAAGGGAAGTGGACGGGGAGAGATAAGGGGAGAGCGGGGGGGGGAGGAGGAGGGGGAGTAGAAATGGAGACGCGAAGGGAAGGGGGGGGGGGGAACGGGGAGGGGAGAGGGATGGCAGGGGGAGCGGGAAAGGGAGGAGGAGGGAAGGCGAAGAGGGGGAAGTGTAGAAGGAGGAGGAGGAGGAGGAGGAGGAGGATTGCCGGACGCAGCCTGACCTCAAGCTTCGGCTGCCAATTCAGACAGCGCCGTCTGCAGGCGCGGCGAGGCCAACTCGCAGGGCCCGAGAGGCAGCGGCCAGCTCACACACCGATGCCGAGGGCGTCGCAGAGGCTCTTGGCCTGTCCCCCCATCTGGACGCTGCCTTCGGCGGCGAGCGGGGGGGGAAGTGAGAAGGAGAAGGCCTCCTCCGAAGGTTCGGAAGCCCTCCGGCCTTCTGAGAAGCTTTTGAAGCCTTCCCCGAGGACAGCGAAACTTCTCGGAAGGCGCGAGGGTTTCCGAGAAGTCCCGCCGCCTTCTGAGAAGGCCTTCTCCTTCTCATTTCCCCCCCTCGCTCGCCGCCGATAACTGGCTATAGCAGGCACGCCGAATCAGAAATTGGTCTGCCAGCCGGCTTTCCGGGGTGAATATCACAGATCAGAGAGTCGAGGGTAGAGAGTAGAAAGCAGAGAGCAGCATGTAGAGGACAGAACAAATCGTGTTACCTTGCTCCACTCATCAGCCATCGCGTTTTCTTAACATATTGTAGTGGCCTTCGGCCAGTGCCGCCGATCCGGGTCGCTCGGTGTTATTCTCCAGACGCAGACACTATGGGCGCACACTCAAACGCACACGCTACGTCTTGCACGGAGTCTTGTTACGAAACATGTGGCCTGGACGATGTAGTGCGAGCGGTGGAGGCGAGCCTATCGGCGCAAGGACGCCCTCTTGGGGCGTTTTTTGAGTCATCTTAGGAGCCTGTCAGGGCGTCGTGGGGGCTTCTTGGGGGCGTTGGGGGGCCCTCTTGGGGGCTCTTGGGGCCTCCTGGGGGCCTGGTGGGCTGGAAGGCTGGATTTTTTCCGCTTTTCGTCCCTCTTTTGGGTCCTCTTGGGGCCGTCTTGGGGGCCTCTCGGGCCGTCTTGGGCGGCTCTTGGGCCGCCTTGGGGCCCTCTTGGGATGTCTTGGGACTGTCTGGGGGCCTCCTGGGCCGTCTTCGAGCGGTCTTGGGGGTCTCTTGGGCCGTCTTGGAGCGTCAGAAAGCCGAAAAAAGCGACAACCCCAAAAACAGTCTAAAAAACCAATAGAAATCAACGATTTTTGCCTCTGGGGTCCCTCGTGGGAGGCCTCTTGGAGGCCTCTTCAGACGTCTTGGAAGGCTCTTGGGCCGTCTTGGGGCCATCTTGGGCGTGTTCGGGCGATCTTTCGAGGTCTCGGTACTTTCTCAGACCGTACTCAGAGACTTTTGCGGCCGCGGCCACCCTTTCAGCGCATCCTCGAGATTTGAGCCTTATGTAAAAGCAGCCCCCCGCATCCGCCGGAAACTCGCACCCCCCCCCCCATCTCCCCTTCCCCGGAAGAGCCACCCCGGCAACCCCCCCAGAGGCTGAGGCTCAGCCTCGAGGCTGTAGCTGAGACTCCTTAAAACTCACACGCCGGATCGGCGGATTTGGCACGAGTGAATGGTTAGGGTTTCGCGATGTCTCTGGCGCAAAGGAGTCGGAGGACGATTGGGATGAAGAAGAGTGAGAAAGAGGAGAAGGTGCCACGAGCGTGCTGGATGGAGGATAGAGAACTGAGGAGGAGACGGTCCACAAAGACTCGGATGCTGGAGAAGGAAGATGAGTCAGAAGGAGGAGGATGGAACTAAATGAGTCAGAATGAGCAGAAACAGAAGAAGAGGACAAGGAGAAGGATGAGGAGGGATGATCATGAAGAGCGGGAGACAGGACATGGAGGGCTGGAAGAAGATGAAGAAGGAGGAGAAGGCGGAGGATCGAGAAAGAATGAGGAGGAGGATCGAGGAGGACGAAGAGGAGGAGGAGGAGGAGGAAGGATAGGGACGGACGAAGATAGAGAAAGAGGAGGATGAGGAGCAGGAGAAGGAGGAGCAGCAGCAGGAGCAGGAGGAGTACAAGTGTTCCCTCCCCCAGAGGTCTCCAGAGGTTCCTGGAGTCTCCTGGAGGCCGAAAGTGCGAAACTCTGGCTCACACACACACACTCACACACGCACACACACACACACACACACTCACACACACACACACACACACACACACGCACGCACGCACGCACGTACGCACGTACGCACGCACACGAGCACGTCCAAAAACATCCAGGAGGCGTCTCGACTTCCGCCAGAGCAGCATTGTGCTTCCATTCTGACGTGTACACATACGTGCACGCGTACACAACACACCTGCATGTGAGCGTCGGAGGTTGGGGGGTGAGATCGCAGTGAAACGGAGACCCCCCTCCGGGAAATCGGTTTCGGTTTCGTGTTCGTGTCGTGCGTGCGGGCGAGGCGAAGCTGCGCGTGATCCTCCTGTAGCTAGGCCGAAGTAGGAGCGAAAGTCCGTGTCCCGTCCGCCGGTGGCTGGGAGGTGTCGCAGTTGGGCCGGGCGGTGTCCCGGGTGTCCCGGGCGTCAGTAGGAGCGACAGTCCGTTTCCTGTCCGCCGGAGGCCGGGAGGTGTCCCAGTTGTGGGCCGGGCGGTGTCCCAGGTGTCCCGGGTGTCCCTGGTGAGATCAAGGTGACAGGTTGGAGGTCAGTCAGGGTGGGCATTCCATCTCAATCCCCCCCCAACCTCCTTATCGCCCGCAGGGCGGTCGTATAGTATGTATGTGTTTCTTAGGTGGGGGGTGAGATCGCAGTGGAACGGAGACCCCCAACCGGGAAGTCGTTTCATTTCGTTCGTGTCGTGCGTGCGGGTGAGGCGAGGCTGCGTGGGCGCGCGAGAAGAATGAACCCGCCGTTGCTAGGGCGAAGTCAAGACAAATGTTGCTCCCCCGTCCGTCCGTCCGTCCGTCCGGCGGTGGCCCTAGCGGTGTCCCGCGGTGTCCCGTGGTGTCCCGTGGTGTCCCGTGGCGTCCGCCGTTGCTAGGGCGAAGTCAAGACACATGATTCTCCCCCGCCCGCCCGTCCGTCCGTCTTTCGGTGGCTCGCGGTGTCCCGCGGTGTCCCATGGTGTCCCGTGGTGTCCCGTTGAGTGAGATCGATAGTGAGATCGACACTGAGATCGATAGTGAGATCGATCGTGAGATCGATGTGGTGTCCCGTAGTGTCCCGTGGTGTTGTATGGTGTCCCGTTAAGTGAAATCGATAGTGAGATCGATAGCGAGACTAATAGTGAGATCGATGTGGTGTCCCGTGGTGTCCCGTGGTGGCCCGTGGTGGCCCGTGGTGTCCCGTGGTGTCCCGTTGAGTGACATCGATAGTGAGACCGATAGTGAGATCGACAGGTGTCCCGTGGTGTCTCGTTGAGTGAGATCGATAGTGAGATCGACAGTGAGATCGATAGTGAGATCGATCGTGAGATCGATGTGGTGTCCCGTGGTGTCCCGTGGTGTTGTATGGTGTCCCGTTGAGTGAAATCGATAGTGAGATCGATAGCGAGACCGATAGTGAGATCGATGTGGTATCCCGTGGTGTCCCGTGGTGGCCCGGGGTGGCCCGTGGTGTCCCGTGGTGTCCCGTTGAGTGACATCGATAGTGAGATCGACAGTGAGATCGACAGGTGTCCCGTGGTGTCCCGTGGTGTCTCGTTGAGTGAGATCGATAGTGAGATCGATTAAGTCAGATGTTGGTTCCCCCCCCTCTCCCCCTGCCGGCAACCTCCTTATCACCCGAAGGGTGGTCGTATAGGTACGTTTGTGTGTATGTGTACACCTGTGTGCGTGCGTGTGTGCGTGTGTGCGTGCGTGCGCGTGTGTGTGTGTGTGTGCGTGTGTGCACGTGTGTGCTCGTGTGTGCGCGTGTGTGCGTTTGTGTGTGCGCGTGTGTGCGCGAGTGCGCGTGTGTCTGTGTGTTTGTGTGAGTGTGTGTGCCTGTGTGTGTCTGTGTGTGTCTGTGTGGCTGGGTGTGTCTGTGTGTGGCTGGGTGTGTCTGTGTGTGTCTGTGTGTGTGTGTCTGTGTGTGGTGTGCGTTTGTGTGTGCCTGTGTGTGTCTGTGTGTGTCTGTGTGTGTCTGTGTGTGCCTGTGTGTGTTCTGTGTTCTGTGTGCTGTGTGTTGTGTGTGGTGTGTGTGTGTGTTGTGTGTTGTGTGTTGTGTGTGCTGTGTGTTGTGCGTGGTGTGTCTGGTGTGTGTGGTGTGTGTGGTGTGTGTGGTGTGTGTGTGTGTGTTGGTGTGTGTTGGTGTGTGCTGGTGTGTGTTGGTGTGTGTTGGTGTGTGTTGGTGTGTGTGGTGTGTGTGGTGTGTATGATGTGTGTGGTGTGTGTTTGGTGTGTGAGGTGTGTGTGGTGTGTGTGGGTGTCAGTGTGTGTGTGTGGTGTGGTGGTGTGTGTGGTGTGTGGTGTGTGTGTGTTGTGTGTTGTGTGTTGTGTGTGTTGTGTGTTTGTGTTTTGTGTGTGGTGTGTGTTGTGTGTGTGGTGTGAATGTGTGTGCTGTGTGTTGTGTGTTGTGTGTTGTGTGTTGCGTGTATTGTGTGTGTTGTGTGTGTTGTGTGTGTGTTGTGTTTGTGTTGTGCGTGTTGTGTGTGTTTGCGTGCGTGCGTGCGTGCGGTCGTGCGTGCGTGCGTGCGCGCGCGCGGGCGGGCGGGCGGGCGGGCGGGCATGCGGGCGTGCGTGCGTACGTGCGTGCGTGCGGGCGGGCGCGAAGGCGTGCGCGTGCGTGCGTGCGCGTGCGTGCGTGCGCGCGCTTGCATGCGTGCGTGCGTGCGTGACGTGCGTGTGTGTGTGTGTGCGTGTGTGTGCGTGTGTGCGTGTGTGCGTGTGGTGAGGTGTGTGTGCGCGTGTGTGCGCGTGCGTGCGATGTGTGCCGTGTGTGTGTGCTGGCGTGTGCGTTTTTGTGTGCGCGTGTGTGCGCGTGCGTGCCTGTTGTGCGTGTGTGCGTGTCCGTGTTGTGCGTGTGTGCGTGGGTGCGTGCGTGCGTGAGTGCTGCGTGCGTGCGTGTGCGTGTGTGGTGTGTGCGTGCGTGTGCGTGTGTGTGTGTGGCGTGTGTGTGTGTAGTGTGCGTCCTGTGTCATGAGTGTGTGCGTGTGCGTGTGTTGTGGCGTGTGTTTTGCGTGCATGTGCGTGTGTTTGTGTGGCGTGCGCGTGCGGTGTGTGTTGCGTGTGTGTGCGTGTGTTTTTGCGTGTGTGTGCGTGTATGTGGCTGAGGCTCGTGCGTGTGTGTGTGCGTGCGCATGCGGTGCGCGTGCGTGCGCTTGCGCCATGCGTGCGCCGTGCGGTGAGCGTGCGTGGCGCGTGCGAGCGCGTGCGTGCGCGTGCGTGCGCGTGCGTGCGCGTGCGTGCGCGTGCGTGCGCGTGCGTGCGCGTGCGTGCGCGTGCGTGCGCGTGCGTGCGCGTGCGTGCGCGTGCGTGCGCGTGCGTGCGCGTGCGTGCGCGTGCGTGCGCGTGCGAGCGCGTGCGTGCGCGTGCGTGCGCGTGCGTGCGCGTGCGTGCGCGTGCGTGCGCGTGCGTGCGCGCGCGTGCGTGCGCGTGCGTGCGCGTGCGTGCGCGTGCGTGCGCGGGCGTGCGCGGGCGTGCGCGGGCGTGCGCGGGCGTGCGCGGGCGTGCGCGGGCGTGCGCGGGCGTGCGCGGGCGTGCGTGCCGTGGCGTGCGTGCGTGACTTGCGTGTGTGTGTGTGAGCTGTGCGTGCCGTGCGTGCGTGCGTGCGTTGCGTGCGTCGTGCGTGCGTGCGTGCGTGCGTGCGGCGTGCGGCGTCGTGCGTGCGTGCGTGCGTGCGTGCGTCGTGCGTGCGGCGTGCGTGCGTGCGTGCGTGCGTGCGTGCGTGCGTGCGTGCGTGCGTGCGTGCGTGCGTGCCGTGCGTGCGTGCGTGCGTGCGTGCGTGCGTGCGTGCGTGCGTGCGTGCGTGCGTGCGTGCGTGCGTGCGTGCGTGCGTGCGTGCGTGCGTGCGTGCGTGCGTGCGTGCGTGCGTGCGTGCGTGCGTGCGTGCGTGCGTGCGTGCGTGCGTGCGTGCGTGCGTGCGTGCGTGCGCGCGCGTGCGTGCGTGCGTGCGTGCGTGCGTGCGTGCGTGCGCGTGGGTGTGTGTGTGTGTGCGCGGGCGTGCGCGGGCGTGCGCGGGCGTGCGTGCGTGCTTGCGTGCGTGTGCGTGCGTGCGTGCGTGTGCGTGTGTGTATGTGTTTGTGTTTGTGTTTGTGTTTGTGTTTGCGTTTGTGCTTGTGCTTGTGCTTGTGCTTGTGCTTGTGTTTGTGTTTGTGTTTGTGTTTGTGTTTGTGTTTGTGTTTGTGTTTGTGTTTGTGTTTGTGTTGGTGTTGGTGGTTGTGGTTGTGGTTGTGGTTGTGTTTGTGTTTGTGGTTGTGGTTGTGGTTGTGGTTGTGGTTGTGTCTGTGTTTGTGTTTGTGTTTGTGGTTGTGGTTGTGGTTGTGGTTGTGTCTGTGTTTGTGGTTGTGGTTGTGTTTGTGGTTGTGGTTGTGTCTGTGTTTGTGGTTGTGGTTGTGGTTGTGGTTGTGTTTATGTTTCTGTTGTTGTTTCTGTTTGCGTGTGTATGTGTGTGTGTGTTGCCGAAGCTCTGGCCGATCTGAGTCAGCTTCGAGGTGCCGCGGTCGGCGCTTCGGGGGGAGCGCGCCGCGTTCGGCCGGGCCTGGGGCCCCAGAGGGGGGCCACAAGAACCCCTGTGCTTTCCCCCCGCCCTCGTCCTTGCGAACGTCGCCGGCGTCGGGCATGCGCGCCCGCGCGCATGCCGCCTCGAACCAACACAGAAAAAAAACGCAGAGAAGCCCAACGGCCCGCCAACACGGGAGGAGGGAGGAGGGAGGAGGGAGGAGGGAGGAGGGAGGAGGGGGCGGGCCGCAGGCGCTGGCCCTGCGGCGCGCACTGGCCGACGCGAGGGCGGAGGCGGCCGAGGAGCAGACCCAGCGCGGCCGCGACCTGCAGGCCCGTCGCGGATGGAAGGATCGAGGATCGAGGATCGACGAACCGATCGACGAGTGAGGACGGAGGGAGGAGGAGGAGGAGTGAGGATGGAGGGAGGAGGGGGAGGAGGAGGAGGAGAAGGAGGAGTGAGGATGGAGGGAGGAGGAGGAGGAAGAGGAGGAGGGACCCTGACACCCTGGCGGTGTGAAAAGGTCACGACGGAAGCTTGTGGCAAGTTTCATCCTCTGGAGGCCTTCACTGGGCCCTGGGACGGTCAAGAAACGACCCTTGGCGAAAGAAACGTCCTTGGGAAGGGGGCCATGCTTTCCAGATGGGGTCCAAGAAGATGAGGTCGGTGGATCCGCGCCACACCGCCGATGCATCGGCGATGCGGCTCGGTGTGGGGCCCGACTTTCAACATGCCGACCTCGCCCGATGCATCGCCGATGCGTGGGCGATGCATCGGCGATACGGCGCGACCCACAATCATATCTAATTCGGCCCCAGTTGGGCGGCCTCCAGAGGAAGAGAGAGGAGGAGGAGGAGGAGGAGGAGGAGGAGGAAGAGGAGGAGGAGGAGGAGGAGGAGGAGGAGGAGGAGGAGGAGGATCGAGGACCCAAGCTTTTTCCCCATTGTTCTCCGCAGACAGCGCCTGCACCAGGAATTCTCACATGTGCTCTGAGCCACTGAGGCTTTGGGCTGCAGTTTCGGCTCATCGCCGCCTGTGGGCCCCCTTGGCCATTGGTGCCCGATGGTCCGGCTCGTGGGCACCCCGCGTTGGTGCCTTTGGTGCCCGCATAGTGTTATGGTTTCTGAGGTGAGCACCCTGTTGTGCCCCATCGTGCCCCACGTAGATTTCACCAGACAGCTTGCATCACACATCACAAGTTGCCCCACGGAGCTTGCACCACATACTTGGCACCAGTGGTGGTCTGTGTATGGGTGGGGGGGGGGGGGCGAACACGGGGTCGACTACGAAGGGGGTTCGTTTTTGTTGTCTTTTTACCGTGCCTCCCATGTCCAGCCATCCTCTTGTGGGTACTCGTGGGTTTTCGTGGAACTGCGTGGCAGGTGAGGGTTGCGGTTGCCCTGCGGATGGCGCTCGGGCCAGGCTCCAGGGGTCTCCAAAGAGGTTCTTGGATGCTTCCGGAGGCTTCCACAGGCCCTCTTGGATGCCTCCGGAGGCTTCCAGAGGCCCAGAAAAGTCCAACAAGTCCAACACACGTCGATCCCCGAACTTCGAGGATCGAGGGGGATGAGGAAAAAAGGAAGAGGGAGGAGGAGGAGGCAGGAGGAGGACGAGGAGGAAGAGGGAGGAGGAGGAGGAGGAGGAAGAGGGAGGAGGACGAGGAGGAGGAGGAGGAGGAGGAAGAGGAGGAGGAGGTGGAGGTGGAGGAAGAGGACGGCCCGTCTGTTTCCCGTTCCCTCACGTGGTGGCCTCCGCCCCTCCGCACCTCGTGTCGTTCGCCTCTCCCTGTCACCCACGCCCCCCCCTCCTCAGCTCCCCCCCTCCCCCTCCCTCCCTCCTCCTCCTCCTCCTCCTCCTCCTCCTCCTCCTCCTGCTCCTCCTCCTCCTCCTCCTCCTCCTCCTCCTCCTCCTCCTCCTCCTCCTCCTCCACCCCCCTCCTTGCCTCCTCCTCCT